CATTGAGTTTTGTTTTTTTTTCTTTTTATAAAATATGTCTTCTAATATATAGCATTGTTATGTCATTATCGTTTTATTATTTTTTATGGGAATAATAGGATCATTTACATTAGAAGAAATAATGTAATTATGAATTCTAAATTAGACATTTTACAAACCAAACTAAAACAAGTCATTTATGGAGATACTGATGGAATAATAATGAAATTAAAGTTGTTATTACTTGGAGAATGTAAGGTGTGAAATGACTAATTTGTTCTGTTGCTATGCCCGTTTCTTGTGATGTTAGTTTGAAGTCTATGATTGGGTTGACCATCAAATACAAATCAAGACACATAAAGCTTTACTTGAATAGTAAATCTAAGCAATTTTACTCTACTAGTATCGAGTATACTCAAGTCTCAAGGTTTATTTAAACAGTTATACAAGCATCATAGTTGCCTCGTCCGTTTAGGATAGTTATTAGTTTAGTGTACTTAACATTAATACTTGAAATGATAAAGAAGGAAGATCTAAGTATATTCGATCATGCATAAGCTAATAATAACTCTAAACCAGATAATGTTATTTTGGTTTTAGTTGACTTACCTAAAGAAAATGGGTTTTGTAAGCTAATAAACTAATTATAAATAATAGGACCTCTCATTTCTAAATCTGAGAATGTTCATAGGGTTAATGAAATGATATTCAATGACTGAGTTTTAAGTTATAGAAATTCAAGTGTAAGTTTTAAGTTGGAAGTTGGAAAAACCTTTCAAACCAAGTTTACATTAATCAACATAATGAAGTAGTGGCACATAACAAATTCATTAGAATACAAGGTATGAACTTCAATCATAATCTATGTGTAATGTGTGAATGTACCAAAATACTGATGGTACTTATAAGGTTTATTAAGAATTGAGATTTGTTTGAGATCTCAAAGTTGAAAGGTCTATACACATGTATCAATATATCATTAAATGATGACACCACCATCAATTTGATTTAAAATTTATTACTAATATAGTTTTGTGAATGTTAATGCTAACACAAGTATATATGTTGTAATAAGTCAACAATATGGGTTTAATATCTCATATAACAAGGAAATGATAACTAAACAAAAGGTACCCAAACAATTGTTTTGTTTACATAAGAATTCATTTTAAATGTTGCCTATATTGTTATTAGTACTCTAACAATTAAATCCGAGTTTAATTATTTAGTGGGATAACAAAATGGTAGATGGTTACATATTAATACTTGAAAGAGTTTTTAGACATTTGGACCTGTAATTGAGGAGTGAAGGTATTGTTGTTCACTTATAAGTGTTAATAACACTCACATATACATGAAGTTTAATGTGAAGTTGTTGGTTAAAGATGAGTTTAACGTTAACAATTATATATTTTCTTTATATATTTACTCTGGTTGAAGAAGAGATGAACTATAAGTAGATATGTTATTTAGATTTTATTTGCCGGTATGTGATAGTTGCCTATATTGGACTATGTATATTATCATATAGATAGATTGTACTTAAGAATGTCATGATAAAGATATGAAAAGAGGGAGGACAATACCTTCTTTCTTTTCTTTTTCTATAGTTGAAATAAACTTTTTTTTTCTGGAGGGGGACAAGTCCATCATTTCCCTTTTTGCTGAGTAAGGTGATTTGCTTCCTTTGTCACATGCAGGAAAACATGAACTCTAGTTAGTCTAATACATAGAATCAGCTTTGAGAATCTTCTTCTAAGAATTGAATATGAAAAAGAGCTCAAGCTCCTTTGTCAAGATCTTTTCAATGTTGTTGAAAGAGAGGGTTTGAGGTTTTAATATCCTACTATGAATGATTTCCCTTATTTGCAAGAGCCTGACATCTTGATATTTCACAGTTTCTAATCCCTATAGCAGGATGGGATTTCACACGTGTTGTTCTGTCCTAGCTCTTTTTTTCTCTGTAAGATCCGGAAGCTAGGATTCATGTAATAGTCTCCATGAGCATGACCAAGAAAGTGTGTTGTTTTGAGTAGTCATTTAAGTGGTAACAAGAGCAACAATGAAGTATACCTTTGAAAGTGAATTGCAAGAGTAAGGCACAAATACATTACTAAGGAATAACCAACCAAAAGGAAGTGTGGAAAGAAGGATTGGTTCACGCTATCTATAGGCAAAATACCTGCGAAAACAATCCTAAGGGAAGCTTATCGCTAGTATTACGAGTGTCGAACACACTTCTTGATTAGTAGCAGATTAAGCTCTAACGTGGAATCATTTAAGAGAGAATGGGCACCACCCCAAGGCATAAAGGTCATGAGCAAGTGTTTTTGTTTGCATATGTAGATATAGAGCTTCCCCTTGTCTTGGCCCATGCTTCCTATCCATTGACTCAGGATTTTAATCAAAATCGGATACTTCTTTTTATGGTTGGATCACATTTTGTCGAGATCTTCCACCCTAGTATTACATATCGCCTTTTGTGGAGCCATCAAATTGGGATTAGCTAGTAGAATGGTTCCATAGTCCTGTCATTGATTGATCCTGGCTGGGTCTATAAATAGAGAAAAAAAAGAAGTTGCAACAAAAAGTAGCTTGGTTGTAGCTCCATGGTTAGTAGATCTGATAGTTGCCTTTCTTTTTGGTTTAAAGAAAAAAAAAGAATGATAGTTGCCTTTGTTTTTGGTTTGAGGAAAAAAAGAAAGAAAGATTAGAGGCTATCTTAGATTGCCCATAAAGCGTGTCACTAGTACCATAAAGGGGCTTCAACGCTTCTTATCTTGGAGAGTCCGAGACTTTCTCCTAAGCACTTCTCGAAGGCAACTAGACTCTCTTTGATTTCACAGAAAATGGAGAAATAAATTGATCGATTTAATGGATCTTAGGTCAGGACTGACGAGGCTTGAACCCGTAGATTCTGCCTTGACGGGGCAGTGCTCTGACTAATTGAACTACAATCCCCAGAAAGCCAAATTCTTTATTTTTTCTCATTATTATTGAGTTTCGTTGAGTTGTAACAGAGACACAAATAATATTATATATTATTATAAAAAAATAAAGTGAACTCTAGTGGGCTAATTCATGAATTGAATCATGATGACTATATAAGCTATTCTAATATTAAGATTCGATATAGATGAAATCATGAAAGTAGATCTTTGATTTTCCTCTTCCACATAAGAATTCATCATTCAATTGAATCTTCTTGTTCTTGGATGCTTCATAGAAATCCATCGCTATTCCTTTCCTCCATCAAGAAAGGTTCATTATGAATCACAAGAGCAATCTCTCTTTTTATAATTCATTTTTCTTTTTGTTATGGTAATGTAATGCAAGAGTTCATAAATCAAGTTGTTTTTGATGATGAGAAGAGCTTTTTTATGTTATGTGAAATTGATGATCTTAAAGGGTTCGAGTTAGTTGATTTTATCATTAACATTTTGTGAGTAACTTCAACAATAAAAATAAAGATCTGACTTTGAAAAAAAAATCTTAAAGGGGTGTTCGAAAGTGTGATAGAAGTTGTTTTTTAAATTAATTTTTATTTGGAAATACATCAAAATAATACATTTTTATTTTTAAAAATTTATTTTTGATATTAACATATTAAAACAGTCCAAAAACACTAAAAAATTTAATTTAAAGCAAAACATTTTTTCAAATGTTAATGAGAAGCAAATTAAACTTCAATGCCAAACACCTTTTAAGTTTGATGTTTCATAAACCATCAAAGCAAAAATTTGATAATTGATATGATTAAATGATTTAAAAGCATAGGCATACAAGAGGATAAACAAAAGTTAAACAAAAAAAAAAAATTTTATATGATGGCAACTATAATTATATTAATATAACCATAAATTTATTAGAAGTTTTTTAAATATCTTGAAGGGTGGACAAACATTGCTTGTTAGTGTTCTAGTTTAGTTGACTTTTATATCTTATGATATACTGTATCTTCTATAAATACTATGTGAAATTATAGTTGTTTCAAATAAATTAAAATTTTATATACCAATTGTATTTATCTTTCAAATGTGATATTTTCAAATAAACACCCTTTTAAATTTTAAATAAAAATAAAAATTGTTAAAATTAAACAAAATGCAAAGCAAGAAAAAAAATGGATTAAAAAAAACTTTCGCTTCTAAATTTAAAATTAACTATGAGATTTGTCATTGTTTTTTGCTTTAAATTTTCATTGCTAATTTGTTTCTTTCCTTAACCAATTTTGATAAATTGTTAATGAAATTGGATACAAAAGAAAACAATTGAAAAATAAAGCTTAAGAACAAACAAAATTTAAGTGTTATAAATTGCTATAATAATTTATCTAACTTTTCTTAGTATATTTTATAATTGTTATTTAATTTGCAATTTTAGCTTGTATTATGACTTAAGAATCAATTTGATTGAAAAGAAAAAAAAAAATTGATCGTTGTTGCTATTTTTGATAGTGGATTTGAAATTGCTAACACGATATGTAATTTAATTTATGTTTTATAAATTAATTCTTGTTGTTTTGATTTTGATTTTTAATTTTATTTTTTTATAAAAGTTATTCTATTAAAAAAACATGAGAATAATGAATTAAATTTTAGAAAATAAGAAAGTGGTTTAATATAAATAAATACATAGGTTAATTTTAGTAAAATCCATGTTCTTTAAAGAAAAATAAATAAAAAAAGAACATAGCCTGTCTCGGAAGGAGAAGGGAGATTGACCGTTGTCTCTGCTTTTGACCGGGGGTTTGAAATTAGCAACATCATCGTTGGATCTTCGAGAAAGTCAACTATCATTCAATTTTCGACTTTATCTAGCCCACGGAATTTTATTAGGGGAAAGGCCCGTTCGTAAGTTGCCATTGCCATTAGATTATGACTGATGGCTCACCTGTTTAAGATAGTTTTACTAATAAAATTTTAGAGGCTGACCGACCGATCCTCGAAGGATGCAGCAGATTATGCTAAGCGTTAAAAAACCATGCAGCAAAGGGTAATTAGAAGCTTCTCAGAAAAGCAAAAACCAAATGGAAACTGGGTGCTAACTATATTTCTTACTGATCGTCAACTGTCTGTGTGCCCCTCATTTACGTATAAATGAGCACAAGACCAACTTCTTATTCATCAACATCAAATCAGTTATCTCGAAAGCTTCTCTTTATTTCACAGAGCACAGAACCAACTCCTGATTCATCAAAATATCAAATTAGTTCTCTCTAAAGCTTTCCTTTAATTTACGGTTTTTAACCTTCTGTAGTTCTAGTTTGTGAGTAAATTGCGAGAGACCAGAAATGAGTGTGGAGATTTTGGATGGTGCCACCATTGTCAACTTTCTGGAGGACGAGGAAGCATTCAACGCGCATGTATGTGACCGCTTCGCCTACCTTGATTCAGACCATGATGGCCGGCTTTCCTACGGGGAATTGTTGAAGGAGCTGCAGTGTTTGAGGTTATTGGAAACCCACTTCGGCGTAGATGTGGAAACAGACCCGGATGAGCTTGCTCTCGTCTATGGTTCTCTTTTTGTCCAATTTGATCATGACTTGAATGGGACAGTGGACTTAGAAGAGTTCAAGTCAGAGACCAAGCAAATGATGCTAGCCATGGCCAATGGTATGAATACATGGGCATAAATTTAGCTTAAGGGAATGGAATTGGTAGAACAGAGTTGCATCAGAATGGAAAAAAAAAAAAACTTGCGTGTCATGTTCAGGGAAACAGATAAAAATTAAAGAAATAACTATCCTAATATAAAGTCTAGTTAAATAAAAACTTTGAGTCGAATCTGCAATGCGATTTAACTAGATTTTGCGCTATAAACACTAAATTCCATCATGATTTGTTTAGCATGCGAATGAAACAAACTTGCCCGATCACAACGACAGCTCAAATAGGGATACAAGTAGATGCCCATTATTCAAGTTCTTATTCAAACCTTGTTGAGAATTTATTGAGAATGTGATTCAGAACAATAAAAAAAATAAATTAAAGCAGTAAAGAATGAAGTTTCAAAGAAATTAGTTAAAAATTAAAAGCAAAGAAAAGAAAAAGCCAAGAAAAAAAGAGAATACAAGAAGAAAAGCATGTCATTTTTATTTAATCATAAAACATTATTCCAAAAATTGAAATAGAAACATATAAATAACATAACCCTAAAACATCAAACTGTTGGATTCAACTAATCAATTAAAATTTTCAAACACAAATAAGTCAAATAAATAAAATAAAACAATGAAATAAATCTAAATAGACTCAATCTCCTCACTAAAGAGTGACAAGTTTAGCTATCTTATGTCGTCTGTCATATACTTGTGTAATATGTGTCATAGGTCTGGTGTCCCCTACAATTCTCCTAGTGTAGCTCTGGGCGACCCTCATAACACTCCTAAAGATTTGGATTAATTTATTGCAAAGTATCTCTAGTAATCCAAGTACATTTTGAATCCGGTTAGCCTATCCAAGAATTAAAAACTATTGAACCTCACTATTCCTAGTAAAAAAATCTTGTTCATCCATAATGAAATTAATATTATCTTTTGTGTTGAGGTCAAGGTCAAAGGGGTAGACATTTCAATAGGATCATCAGTAGGGGAGTTAGATGGCATCTCAAAGGGATCATTTGAAATAGGATGTGGTTTATGGTATACAACTAAATCCATAATGTTAAATGTAAAGTTAATGCAAAATTAAGTAGTAAATCAAGAACATAAGCATTTGGACCAACCCTTTTTAGTACTTTGAATGGCCTCTGACACAACCAAAAGATTGATGTCTTCTCCTAAGTGCAGGAGTGTCGAAGTAATAAAGAAACCCGGCAAGACCGGGGTCGAACCACAGAGAGGTTAATTGTAAAAAATATAGATAACAATGATACAACAACAACAACAACAACAACAACAATAACAGTAACAATAACAATAACAATAATAATAATAATAGTAGTAGTAATAGTAATAGTAGTAGTAGTAGTAGTAATAATAATAATAATAATAATATTAATAGTAATAACAATAACAATAACAATAACAATAACAATAACAATAACAAAGAAGAATAAGAAAAAGAAGAAGGAATTGATAAGAACTTTGATATGGAAGATTAACATAAGGATTAAACAATGATAATAATAAATGTCAAGGTTGGAGGATGCACTAATGGTATGTCAAAAAAATATAGTATAAACTCTTATTATTCAATTGAAAACCACACACAAAGGAGATTCCAATCAGATTATAAATTGTTAACATGATTACATTAGTCATCTTATTTGATTAATCTAATACTTGTAAATCTCGTCAGGCATTCATGATTATAACTTATGTTAACAACAAATCAAGTTCCTTTCATAGCTCAGGTGTCGATTATACCATACAGTATGAGCTATAAAAGTGGCAAGCATTTGTTATACCAGGTGTTATACAACATAAATCTAGATTAGTTATTTAACAAGCAAAGTATTAAATAGTGAACAAGATAACAAATACAAAACATATTAATATCAAACATTAAAGTCCATATTAAGTTTACACTATACTTATTCTTATAACATTAGAGTAACCTTTTCACCTTGACATAATAAACTTAACTCAACATAATGAAAGAAAGAAAAATAAATAAAGAAAAATAAATAAAGAAAATAAGAATAAAAATAAGATAAAAGTTAATTAAGTAAAGATAATGAATTAAAAGGCATAAACTTGATATTAATGAAAGCAAAACTTAAGTATTACAAAAATAAAAAGAGAGAAAGCAAGAGCATGATCTTGATCAAGAAACCAAGATGCCTAAATGCATGGAAAATGCCTCCTTTTATAGGCCAAAATTGGGAACTATTGATTTGATGACTAATTGATAAATGGGTGGCCAACT